CCAGAGCACATCTCACATGAGACTTTCTCCATGAGAAACAAGTACCTCCTGGTTCCCCCACCCCAACAGTCTGAGAGATGCTAATCCTCAGGGAGCAGTGGTTGGTTAGGTGATCTTAAAGTAGTAAAATTGACTTGGATTCTGTTCTGTACATTTGGATCTAGAGTCAGTTACAGCCACTAGAGGAGATGATGGGATTCATTGCTCACACACATGAAAGGCTTGGCCAAGAACCGTTAGCTTCATCAGTCAGTCTCAGAATTCCAGAGGTAGGAGGAGGTATAGAGCGTGAGGTCATTGCCTGGAGGGAGAGAGGCAGCCAGCAAGCCCAGCTCAACCCCCACCTGAACCCCTCACCCTCATCCCTTCCCCCATTCCACTTAGCAGTAGGGGCTTATTGTCAAAAGACAATTAGAAAATTTTAGAAGTAGCCAAATATTTTTAAAAATTACAACTAGTTGCCTTTAGGGAGTGACAATAATAGTGAAGATAACAACACACGAGAAACTATAAGTCAGAAGAAAATGGAGTGATAACTTTAAAGGGATCTAAAAAATACGTTACCCAGAATTCCACACCCAGACAAAATATCCTTCAAAAACTAAATTGAAATATTATTTCAGGACAAAAAGAAATGAACATATGAACTTCAGACTTTCATTATAACAATACTAAAGTAAATTCTTCAGGTCAAAAGAAAATTATTTTTTTTAATTTTTAAGTACGGCAAAATATATACATAACACAAAATTTACCATCTTAACTATAATTAAATATACAGTTCAGTAGTGTTAAGAATATTCACATTGCTGTGCAAAGATCTTGAGAACTTTTTCATCTTGCAAAACTGAAACTCTGTACCCATGAAACAATGAATCCTCATTTTTGTCTCCCCCGAGTGTGGTAGCAGCAATTATATCAGAAATTACAATGTCTGTAATAAGACAAAACAATCCAAATAGAAGACAAAGGTTGCCAGAATGGATTTTAAAAAAGAACATTAGCTATTTGAGAGACATACTTTACACGTAAGAACACAAAATGATTGAAGAAAAAAGAATGGAGAAAGATTTGACATGTTACCAGTAACCAAAAAACTTATAGTTATAATGATATCAGCAAGAAGTATTTCTAAAGAGAAAGTTCACTTCAACAAGAATATATAATAATTCTAAATTTATATTCACCTAATAACATAGTTTCAAATATACCACGCATAAGTTGATGGATCTACCTCTCTCAGTAACTAATAGAACAAGCAAAAAAATTACATAGAGAAATAAAATATTTGAAACCAATAAGGCAACTTGACCTAAGTTACAGGTATAAAACACTGCATCCACGAACTGCAGAATATACATTGTACTCAAGCAAGCAGAATGCATCATGAAGATAAAGAAGAAATCAAGAAAACTGAAAACAGAAAAGTGATTTAAAAACAATGAGTGCAAATACTAGTACTTTAAAAATTGCAACCAAGTTGACAAACTTCTAACGAGATTCACAAGATTAAACAAAAAGGTGAGAAGATACACATTATCAATATCATGAATGAAAGAAAGGACATCACTGCCTACCCCACAGGTGCTGAAAGGATAATAAGGGACTAGTACGAGCAACTCTATGCATATAAATCTGACAACTTAAATAAGTGGACCAATTCCAGGAAAACCACAAACTACAGTTTAACAGTTTCTTATACAGTTAAATATAAACTTCCCATATGGCCCAGTAATCCCACTCCTAGGAATCTGTCCAAGGGAAATGAAAACATATGTCCACACGAGGACTTGTACATGAATGCTTAGAAGGCATTATTCATAATTGTCAAAAACTGAAATCAACCCAAATGTCCTTCACAGGTGAATAGATAAATAAACATGGTACTTCCATACAATGGAATACTACTCAGCGATAAAAAGATATGAACTATGATGAATCTCAAAGGCATTGTGCAGAGCGAAAGAAGCTGGTCTCAGAAAGGATACACAACATATAACTCCACTTGTATGACATTCTTTTTTTTGTGTATGTGTGTGTGAGGAAGATCAGCCCTGAGCTAACATCCATGCTAATCCTCCTCTTTTTGCTGAGGAAGACCGGCTCTGAGCTAACGTCTATTGCCAATCCTCTTCCTTTTTTTTCCCCCCAAAGCCCCAGTAGATAGTTGTACGTTATAGTTGCACATCCTTCTAGTTGCTATATGTGGGACGTAGCCTCAGCATGGCCAGAGAAGCCGTGCGTCGGTGCGTGCCCGGGATCCGAACCCGGGCCACCAGCAGCAGAGCACGAGCACTTAACCCCTAAGCCACGGGGCCGGCCCTATGACATTCTTGAAAAGATAAAAAAAAATAGATGCAGGACAGATCAGGAATTGCCGGGCATAAGGCTGGTTGGAAGGTGTAACTATCAAGGAACAGCACAAGGGAGCATTTGGGGAGAAGAAATAATTCTGTATTCTAATTGTGGTGGTGTTGGTAAAACAAGTCTATCTATCCATTAAAATTCATTGAAGTGTACAACAAAAAAAAACAAATAAATTTTAGCATATAATTATTTAATAAAAAATTAATCAATGGAAATGTTTGATAAGATCATTAAGATACTGGGATATACAGAGATTTCATAACTAGGACAGCAAGAGCACTACACATAAGTGAAAAGACTGACAAAAGAGATTTCATTAAAAATTTTAAAACTCTTGCTCATCACTAAAGAGAGTGACAAGTGGGAAAAGAGAGTCACAATTTAAAAAACTCACATCCAGAATAAAGAACTTGAAAAAAATCAATACAGAAAAGATAGCCCAATTTTTATTTTTAAATGGACAAGACACCAGAACAGGCATTTCACAAAAGGAGATATTCAAATGGCTAAGAAATATATGAAAAAGTCTCAACATCATGACTCATTAGGGAAATGCAAATTAAAACGACAGTGAGATAGCACCACAAAGGGATTGCAATGATTAAAACTGAATGTGCAGACAATAAAAGTGCGGCTAAGGATGTAGAGAGATGAGGACTCTCATACGTGATGGTGGGGATGTAAACTCACTTGACCATTCAGGAGACCCATTTGATAGCATCTTCTACAGCTAAATACATGCCTACCTTACGACAGAGCAACCACATAACCACCAGGAACAAAGTGCTAGTGCTCCCACTTTCATCCCAAAATTCATATCAAAATTATTTTTGAAAATCCATAAACTGGAAACAAATTCAATGCCATTGAATTTATTTATCTGTAGAATAGATAAATAACCGGAAGTATATTCACACATGAAATACTATATTAAAAGGAAAACCAATACTAAAAGGAACAATGAGTTATTGATAGATGGAACAACAGGGATAAATCTGAAAGCCATAACATTGGGAGAAAACAGCTAAACATTAAAGTGAATATGAAGTTTGACTCCACTTCTACGAAGCACAAACACTGGCAGTACAGATTTACAAGGACAGGAAAGAGGGAGGTGGTACATTCGGGACTGTGCTGACTTGAAGGGTCACAAGATGAAGCCCAGTGTCCTCAGCCTGCACTCAAGGCTGTATCTGGGTATCTGAGCTGCCTTCTTTCCCACCATCGTGTGTGTTGGGTTCTCCTGGTCCTCCCCACAAGCAGCAGACACAGGTGCACCCCCACATCTGCCAGCCTGGCTCAGCTCTTGTCATGTCCCCACCCAAGCTTCCCGCCCACTTCTCATCCTTCCAACCTCAGCTCAGCCCCTTTCTCTCTGGTAGCCTGACCTGACCACAGGGGTGGGTGGAAAGAACGTGTATGTGGAGCTTGGTGGTGGAAGTGTGGGTGTGCACATACATAAACATTCCTCTAGTTGTACTCTTTAGATTTGCATGTTTTACTCAATATAAGTTAGGCATCAAGAAAACAATGAATAGACAAAAAGCTGTAGTGGAAACAAGTTCAACAAAAAAAGAACAGAAGATTCACACATAATTTTGCTCTAGAAACTCCCACGGAGACACTCAATGGTAACATTGCTTCTTAAGTTGTATTGCTTACTAAAACTTTTATTTATAAATAAATGTTGTCATCTTTTATAATAATAATTACGAGATGGGCGTCTTTAAACTGGGAAAGAAAAACTGTGCTCCTGACTCTACTCTGTATGGATGTCTCCGTTGATGGGGAAGTTTGGGAGACCAGAAACTCAGGTGTTAACCAGGTAACTTCTGGGTAACAGGAGGGTAAGGCCCCAAGTTCATTCCCTTCATAGGGCTGGGGAGGGAGAGAGAGGAGGGTAGGAGGAGAGGTGGGCAGGACCAACAAGGAGGGTTTGGTAACAGATAGGGAGGGGAGCAGGCAGAAACAAGGGGGCAGTCAATGGGGTGTGTATGAAATGATCATGTTTTTATTTTGTTTATCTTATGATGATTTGACACCTTAAAAAGCTTGCTGGCCCTGGGAGAGTCTGCCCCCACTCCAAGGAGTAGCCAAATCTTGGTGACAGCAAAGGGCTCTGCCAGGAGACATCATTCAATGCAAACCAACCAATCCTGAGCCCATGTCCCCCAGACACCCCTTTATCTAACTCCCACACACCAAGCCACTATTTCCCCTGCCCTAATCACCCAGGACAAGGTACCAGACAACTAGAGACCACCCCTGTTGGCAAAGCACCACAGAATTGTTCAAACTAGCTAATCCTAAACCATGTGCCTGCCCTAACTTCCTTTCCCATGGAAACCCCAATAAAGGCCCTGGCCTAGGCTTCCCCCATGCCTGCTTCTGTCTCCTGATCAAACCTGGTGCTTCCCCTGTGGCCCTGCAGGGGGTGATGTGCCACCTCCTCTCTGGAAATGTAAGTAATAAAAATCTTTCAATGGCATTGACCTCTCCATATCATCATTCTCTTCACCTCCACAAATTGAAATCCATCAGTACAAATGAGACAGAGTTTGAGTCCAGAGTTTCCAGGGAGGAGCTGACAGTGATGTCTGCATGTCTGTCCCTCTGGGCTCCGAGTCTACACCTCAGTCCCATCTTGAGATGGAGGGAGGCTCAGTCAGGCCTCTCAGCCCTGCCCCCTGGGGGCCTCCACACCTGCAGAGCCAACTCGGGTCTCAGATCAGCGTCGGTCGCTCTAACTCCCACTCCAGGCAGTGGGACAACTCAGTGCCCCTGGAACTCAGGGGCCAATCACTGGACTTCCCTGGAGAGGGACAGGCCTGCTCACCTGGTGTAGTAGATCCAGGTGAGGCCATAGGTGAGGAGGAAGCCAGCCCCCATGAGGGTCCCTCTGATCAGGGTGACGACCAGGGGCCAGGAGCCCTGCTGTTCCCCAGTCACACAGCTGCAGGAAAAGGGGCTTCCTGGGGGAAGCGGAGAAGGGGTGACGTTTTGTCTCCAGACCCTAGCCCCTCCCACAGCCAAACAGTTGACCAGGCTGCCCGCCCCCAGCACCTGTCCTGCAACTCACTCTGCGCAGAGAGGCTGAAGGAAACATGCTGGGAGCCCAGCGGGTTCTGAGCTCGGTTGGTGAATTTCCCTCCATCTCCAGCCCCAACCTGGGGCAGCTCCGGGACCCCAGGTGCTGATGGCTTGGAGGAGCTGAAGGCTTTCCCCTCCTGGGACCAGCTCATCCTGGCAGGGGGGGTGCTGTCAGCCACGCAGACCAGGCGCAGGAACTGGCCCTCCAGGACTGGCAGCGATGTGCCATTGCTCAGGGTCTTCAGGGCTGGGTGAGAGACACACAGCAAAGTGGGGGGAGCTGAGACCTGGGTCTGGGGCCAAGGGCAAGGAGAAGAGGGAATTAATTTGAGAAGTGAAGTTCTGGAGCCTCGCTGACTCATGAGGTGCGGTAGCGAGAAAGAGAGGGTCTAGCATTATGTCCAGATCACCTCTGGGTTAAGCAGGGGTCAGTTGGGGGCAGTTGAGAGGCATCAGCAAGAGGTGGCTAAATGTGTAGATCCGTGGTTGGATATAAAGTTATGGAGGCATCACGGTAGGGATAGGATCTGAGGTGGAGACATGGAAGGGAATGAATATGCCCAGGAAAGGGGAGAGAGATTGAAATGAGGGTCCAGGGTGGAGCCATGGGGAACGGGAACATTGAAGGTTCCTGGAAAAGATGATCACATCAGAGATGAAAGAGGGTGCATATCATAGGAGGTGAGAGCAGACAGAAACTCAAGAAAAGGGAGCAGAACCGAGAGTTGTCCAAATCACAGAGACAGAAAGAGGAATGGTGGTCGTCAGGGGCTGGGAGGAAGAGCAGGGAATGGAGAGTTAGTGTCTGATGGGTATGGAGTTTCAGTTCTGCAAGAAAAGACTGGTTGCCCAACACTGTGAATGTACTTAACATTGCTGAGTTGTAACCTTAAAAATGGTGAAGGTGGTAAAATTTATGCTATGTGTTTTTTACTACAATTAAAAATAAACTTAAAAACTAATGAAAAGATGAAGGGGATCAAAAGGAACAAACTTCCAGTTACAAAATAAATAAGTCCTAGGGAGGTAACTACAGCATGGCGACTATAGTTAACAATACTGTGTTGCATATTTGAAAGTAGCTAAGAGAGTAAATCTTGGAAGTTCTCATCACAAGTAAAGAAAATTCTGTAACTATGTGTGGTGATGGATGTTAACTAGATATATTGTGGTGATCATTTCACAATATATACAAATATCGAATCATTATATTGTACACCTCAAAGTAATATAATGTTATATGTCAATTACATCTCAATTAAAATAATAATAAATAAATAAAAGCTAGAGAAAAGAACAGGGAGGAGCCAACAGTGATACTGGGCCCACCGATGTGAGACGGTGGTGAGGGTGGGTGGGGGACAGAACCAGACCCAGGAGGCTGAGGAGTGAGGGTCGAGGGTCTCATCTCCAAGCCCTGAGCTGGCAGAGGCCCCACTCCCATCACAGCCTCAGAAAAGAGGATCTTTCCTACCTGTACAGTTTCCCTGGAAAAGGCTGGTGGTCATCAACCTTGGAGCATCTGGGAAGGGAAGAGGTGGCGAGGGGCAGGGTGGGGTTTTGCCCTTCATCCCGGGAGCTCCCTAAGTGGAAGGGATGGGGTTTTACTTCCCCCAGTCTCCTCTGGGAGAAGGATCCCAGGACTGGACCTCAATCTTGCCCACACTGCCCTCAGGGATGAGCCATCCCTCCAACACTCACAAAAGACATGGAGCTGGATGGTTCTCTCCGTGGTCACCTGAGATCCTTGGAGTTTCACCTGACAGGTGAGCTTGGTGCCATGGTCCTGGGGCCTCAAGGTGAGGGTGAGCACCGACGACTGGAGGGCCTTGGGGTCCAGCGAGTCAAGAGCGTCCCCCACCCAGGAGAACGTGAGAGGTCTTCCCCCCTCACAGGACCCTGGCAGGCTGCAGATCAGCTTTGTGGGGCGGCCGGACTCCAGAGGCTCCGGAAAGTGGATGTTGGGTTTCTCTGTCATGTCTGAGGAGGAGACAGGGAGATGCCTGGGCCCCAGGGAGGTGGGGACCCAGGGTGTGACCTGAAAGGGACCAGAGCCTCAGGGCTGGAGCTGACCTGGGTCCTGTATCCCTCTGACCATCCCAGCACCAAGGTCTGGAGCAGATAATGTTCCAGAGTCCTGCTCCTGTTCTAAAACAGGGTTCGACACATCCCAGGGTCCTCTTCTGGGGCCCCTGCCGTACCTGCCACCTGCAAATTCAGCTTCTTATCTCTATAACTATAGTTCATATAATATCCTCTCTCCACTCGGAAGGAGTAGACGCCTGTGTCACTTCTCTTGGCGTCTCTGATGCTCAGGGAGCAGTTGTTGGTCCTGGGGTCCCTGAGGAGGCGGAACCGGCCCTGAGCCTCTATATCTGCTTGTTGCTCTGGGTTGTTTGTGGCCACAAGAATATGGTAGTGCGTGTAGTCCCCATCACAGAACCAGTAGATGTAGAGTTCACCATGGCGATACCTCGAATCCCAGGGGTAGGAGAAGGAGCAGGGTATGAGGACGCACAGACCCTCCTGCACTGTCACCAATTCCTGCACTCGGAGCTGGTACCCTGGATACTCCTGCAGGGACCCTGGGGGGACACAGAGGCTCAGCTGCAGCTCCAGCCCCTCCCCCACCAGTCCCGTCCCTCCCCCCTCGACCACTCACCCCCCCACAGCAGGGGCAGCAGCAGCAGGGGCACCATGTCTGCCTCGGCCAGGGCACAGGCCAGGTCCAGCTCCCTCTGTCAGGCAAGGAAATGCCCCAAATGTGAGGTGGGGCCGAGGAAGCCCCAACAGGAAGCCAGTGAGTAAGGGAGAGTTGCAGCCTCCACGGAAGGGGAACTTGGACACCACAGGCCGTAGGGGGAGGTGGGGGCGAAGAAACCGTCCTGTCTCACCCTCTCTCCTATTTGCAGGTGGAAACTGTGAGCTATTGAGATGGTGAGAGACTTCTCTAGCCTCACAAGATCCCATAACTTGGTCCTTTCTTCATGCACCATTGTCTACACAGGGAAAAGAACGGCACCTACCAGCTCCCTGGGGATCAGAGCCTCTGGGCCTTCAGGGAGCTCAAAGAGCAAATTCATTATCACATGATGGGAGCTGTGAGGAGGGGAGCACAGGCTGAGGGTCCAGGAGGTGGTGTCAGGAGAGAAGGTGAGTTCTCAGTGACAAAAATATCAGATGGACATGACTTGGTCGACAGGATTCTTGAGAGATGCAGTCCCCACCAGTGACCCTGGGGCCTCCTGACCCCTTGAAGTTGGGTCCCCATTCCCATCCCTGTCCTCGTCCCAGGTAGCCTCACACTCTTGCCCTGGAGTTGACGCCCAGAGCAAGCCTGAGAGCAGGGCGTTTGGAACGCAGAAGTTGAGGGCGTGGAGTACCCAGGTTGGAACCCAGACCCCTCACACACCACCTGTTCAACTTTACCAAAGTTACTTAACCTCTCTGTGCCTCAGTTGGATCATCTGAAAAATAGGGACACTGTTAGAAATGCTGTAAAGGGATCAAACGAGTTCATATGAGTATCCGTCATCCAACTATTGTTTTGTGGACACCTACTGTGTGCCAGGCCCTGTTTCAGGGGCTGGAGATACAGCAAAGGAAAAGCCCTTAGGATCGAAAAGGTGAGTCAAAAACTAGTCAGAGGACAAACCTTTAATGAGAAAATTAAAATACACTGTCTCTTAGAGAATGATATATTTTAAGAAAAAGAAAACGAAAACAAGAAGAGAAATCTTTGAGGGCTGCTGAAATCTCTAAAAATGTGGCTGGGGCAGGCCTCATGGAGAAAGTGACATTCGAGTAGAGACATAAAGGAAGTGAGAGAGTGAGCTGTGCAGGCATCCAGGCAAAAGTGGTCCATTCGGAAGGAACAGCACATTCAAAATTCCCAAGGTGCAGTTCAAGTCTGAAGGCAGGAAAAAAACAATGTCCCAGCTGGAAGGCAGTCAGGCAGGAGGAATTCCTCTTACTCGTGGGAGGGTCAGTCTTCTTGTTCTGTTCAGGCCTTCAACTGATTGGATGAGGCCCACCCACATGGGGGAGGGCAATCTGCTTTATTCAATCTACTGATTTAACCATCAGTCTCATCCAAAAACATCCTCACAGAAACACCCAGAATAATGTTTGGCCAAATGTCTGAGTACTCCATGGCCCAGTCAAGTTTACAGATAAAATGAACCATTACACTGAGTAAGCCATTATGATTCCGAGAGCAATTCTGATGTGTGTTTTTTTCCACATCACCAAGAAGTTAACTCCAATCTGACACTATTTACCTAGAGACAGCATCAGATGCCACAGGTTAAGGGCTCAGTCCCACAAGACCACCCTCCACTTCAGACGCCAATTGCAAGTCCAGGTTGTCACCTGTGCTTCTGACTAGAACGGAGGTTCCCATGACCCCCTCCTCGGGTTTGATTAATTTGCTAGAGTGGCTCACAGAACTCAGGAAACCAGTTTACTCACTAGATTACTGGTAAACTAGATTACTAGATTATTACAAAGGATATTAAAAAATACGAATCAACAGCCAGATGAAGGGATTGTGAAACGTGAAACAGAATGGGGTCACTTATGTCTAAGGGCTTTAAAATGGAGCTGGGAAGCCATTAAGGAAATGGGTCTTGTTCATGTTCCATCTGGCAGAAGGTGAACTTTTTTTTTTCTTGGTGAGGAAGATTTGCCCTGAGCTAACTTTTCTTGAGGAAAATTAGCCCTGAGCTAACATCCATGCCAATATGCCTCTATTTTGTATCAGCTTGGCTGATGAGTGGTGTAGATCCCTGCCCAGGAACTGAACCCGTGAATCTGGGCTGCCGAAGTGGAGCACACTGAGCTAAACTACTACACCACCGGGTTAGCTGCCAGAACGTAAACTTTTGAACTGAGTCGAGACACAAATGTTCCCTGAACACTGTGAAAAACCTGCAGCTTGTCACCGTGACCAACTTTTACCTCCCTCTAGCCATGGTCTTAGCAATCAATTATGGTTAGCCAAGATTAGCTTTCTGCTGCCAACCCCAATTAATATTCTTTGTAATGCAAGCCCTCCTCTTTTGCCTTTAAAAGTCCTTGCCTCTTACTCCCTAGTGGGACACTATTTGAGTTGCTATCCAAATGTGTGTATCCCAAATTGCAATTCTTCAATCACAAATAAATGCCTCTCACCCTCTCATTTTGGCTCTTTATTTTTAGGTTAACAAGATGCAAGGAGTGGGGAAAGGGCATGGACTTCCCACCCTCTCTGAGCCTCCAACTCTCCCCACATCTCCACGTGTTCACCAACCCAGAAGCTCTCTGAACCCCATCCCTTTGGGGTTTTTATGGGGGCTTCATTACATAATCATGATTGATTAAATCATTGACCATTGGTGACTGATTCAACTTCCAGCCCCTCTCCCCTTTCCAGAGGTCATGGGGGTGGGACTGAAAGTTCTAACCTTCCAATCACACGGTTGGCTCCTCCGGCAACTAGCCTCCATCCTTAGGGTCTTTCCAAAAGTCTCCTCATTAACCTAACAAAAGACAACTTTCTTGCTCTCTTCTGTTAGGAAATTCCAAGGTTTTTAGGAGCTCTGTGCCAGAAACAGGGACAAACACCAAACACATATATTTCTTATTATAAATCACAGTGTCACAGGAGTGAAGGCAGTTCAGAGCTCGAGCAGAGAAGGGACAGGATCCAATTTGCTTTCACCTGGTCACTCTGCTTGCTATACTGAGCCTAGACTCCTCCCACGCTATTGCAACACCTGGGGAGTGAGACGGGGGTGCCTGGGTCTGGGTGGACATGGTGGAATTGGTGAGAGGCTGATGGGCTAGCAGTATTTGTTGGCAGATCAGACCCACATTGGGAGAGAAAGAGAAAAGTGGAGAACAGTTGCAGGTGTGAAGCTATAACCACAGACCCATTTAGAGCCAGTTTGAACAGACCTCATCTCTTATCAACAAAGTGATTAAGGATTGTCTTTCAGAAAAACTGCAAAGTCACGCAGCCAGGGCATGAGCAAAAGAAGAAATCATAACCTGAAACGACCTCGGAACCAAAGAGCCTCCTTCTACGGAACCCAAGGACCGTGACGTGACCGGAACTTGAAAGCCGGACTAGTAGCAGAAGCGAAGGGTCCCTCATTCAGGAAAATCCAGTGTTAAAATTCCTTCCCAATTTCATCATAGATATTTAGAACATCATCATAAATGTTTAAATCCTTACCATAAATACCTGAAGCCCACCAATCGAAACCTGTCCCACCAGTGTTTCCGTGTGCCAACCTGTTCTCCCTAACCTCTTAAATTTTTCCCCAAATCCTGAATTGGGGAGACAGACCTGAGGGCACATGCCCCCTGTCTCCCTGGAAATTGATCTTGCAGAATAAAAAGCTGATTTCTCCCCTCAAAGGCTGGTGCCATAATTAATTGGCTCGTTTATGCACATCGGGCAGAGAACTCCAATTTTGTGCGGTAACAAAGCTGTCATTGTTGGAAAAGGGAAAGATTTTCAGAGATTTTTAAAGAAAAGATTCAGGAGCTCAATTTGGGACATGGTGGGTTAGAGATGCATATAAGACACACAAGTGGAAAATCAGCAGAGGGTGTTTGATCTGTGCAAGTCTGGGGTTTAGCAAAAAGTTCTAATTGGATGTATGAACTTGGAGTCATCACCATACAGATAGTATTTAAAGTCATGAGCCTGAGTGAAGTCACAAAGGGCAGGAGTTCAAATGGAAAAGAGATGAGGACCATCCCTGGGGGTTCTATGACCTGAGTATCAGACCTACCTTCCCGCCGAAAATATCTATAAATACAAGGGGGAAACATGTCATTGTAAATCTTCTTAAAATCATTGAAGGGCTGACAAGAGAAAAGAATTTTCAGTGAAAAATCTAAGACCGAGTGGAAATCCAGAGAGGGAAGCAGAGCACCAAAGTCACACGTGTCCTGGGGGAATTTTGAATGTGGCAGACATGAATTTGGGGCTTCACAGACCTGAGGACAAAGTCAGACTAGATGTGGAGGAAGGCTGGGGGCTTGTGGTCACGCGTATCTTCCTGCATGCTCCCGGGCTCCATCCAGGGGGACAGAGACTGGAACAGGGCCAGCCCCACCGCCTGTCTCCACCCACCCTCTGGGGTTCCTGGTCAGTAGCAGAGAGGGCAGAAGCATCTCTAGGCTGCAGGGTCAAGAGTCTGTGCCAGGATTACTTCAGTCTCTGACCCCAAGCTCTGATTCATCTCGTAGGAGTGTGACCACAGATGAGATCAGTGAGCGGGAAGGAAGTTGCATCTAGAAGCCACAAAGTGTGGACATAAGGATCCTGATTCAACAGAAAAGGAAGTTTCCCCATTACATCTCTGAGGCAGGAAGGACCCACGGCAGGGAGGAGGCTGGACTGGACAACCTCAGAGCCCAATACGTGGTGAGAGCTTGCCTGAGAGCAAAGCCAACAGAAGACAGCAGACCTACAGGGCTAACAATTTTGTGTGTGTGTGTGTGTGAGGAAGATCAGCCCTGAGCTAACAACTGCCAATACTTCTCTTTTTCCTGAGGAAGACTGGCCCTGGGCTAATATCCATGCCCATCTTCCTCTACTTTATATGGGACGCCGCCACAGCATGGCTTGACAAGCAGTGCGTCAGTGCACGCCCGGGATCAGAACCGGTGAATCCCGGGCCACCGCAGCAGAGCACGCCACTTA